ATCTATCCTTAGCCGAACCTTCAAAGTTTGATCTGCAAACTCGATATGAACTCTGCTTTCTCTTCACCACCTCCTGCATGTGTGCGACCCCGCGGCAGACACACAAAATCCTATCCGATCTGTAAAATACGCAACAACGACAAACAATCAGGCTCTCATTTCTATACGGCTTACCTTTCTGCCGACACAGTAACATCCGGAGAGCTGTAATCCCCTAATCTCTTATTTTTCCTCACTGTTAGATGCCAAATTTCCTCTGTCATCTCGCCTTCAGACTTGATATGTTCGGCTTTTTCTCCCCGGCTTGATGCTTTTTAACAAATTGTGAGGCAGCAGCTGTGGTTTTGATGCTAGCATGACATGTGAAAGCTGTTTGGGGTGAGCCTCTTGAACGTATAGAGCCTTGACAAGCACCACGGGGCACACTCTTACGCTCCGTTTGTGAGTATTATTGTGATACACTTCAGTTTTAATCCCCCCATTGTTTCGGCTGACAACCCCAGTACTGAGGCTTTGTGGGTTTGCGTAGAGCTCAGGCAAATCCGCTTGTGTTATTTTGAGAAAAAAAGTTTTAAAAGGCGGCATCACAGCCTGTCAGTCACCGTCACTGCGTTTTTTTGTTCCCAGGGATTGATTTTAGCTGCGAGCGATAGCAATTAGACCCCCTATTTGTATTGAGTGGTTTGGTAAGTAAGTAAGTAATGTTTATTTATATACCGCCTTTCACAGACCAGAGTCACAAAGCGGTTTACAATGGTTATATTTTTGGGCATCTGTCCTCTCACTTCACAGAGATGGGAGCGGGGTCGCCGAACAGGAGGCGCATGCCAGACCTATTGTACATATTTTTAGTGGTAGGGGAAACCGGAGTACCCGGAGGAAACCTACGCAGACACGGGGACAGGGCTGGACTGGCCATCGGGCGTACCGGGCAATGCCCGAAGGGCCGATGCCCATATTTGGGCCGGTCTGTCTGCCTCATACAAAAAACATGTTTGTGAAAAGTGTAAATCCGTTGAGAACTGTTCGAGGGGGCGCGCGTGTCCGCGGGGCACCTGCTGTATGTACTGGAACGGGATTCCACCACCTCAGCGGCCGCAGTGTTCCCGCATCCAGCGGCTCTGAGCTGGACGCAGGAACCGCTCACCGGGAACCGCTCACAACACAACACGGTGAGCGCGTAGCCGCAACGTGACCATGTACCCAAGACCATAAACGCGCACAAGACCATGCGTGTCTTTTCGTAATTTGTGCACCCAATAAATACACCGCTGCAGGAAACAGTTCGCGTCTCCCCTCTCCTCTAAATTAAAGCTCGGGTACCTAAATTTTCCATTGCATTAAAAGTTCATGTTTGAGCCCAAAAGTAAAATGTTGTGAACAGATTAAACAGATTTAGAGCCAGCTAATGGCTGACAATATGCATTTCAGACATTTTTGACCAATTCTCATCCCTGTAACAAACAATAGTGTTGTCTGTGCCCACTTCCCTCACTCTGAGACATGTTCATTACTCTGTTTAATGTAGACTATTGTACTTTATGTTATTGTTGAAACTGCAGACATCCTGATCCTCTACAGTATTTGCTTCCACATACTGTATAAACCAGGGGTCGGCAACCTTTAGTGCCCCTAAAGTGGCTCCAAAATGTCTGAAAATGGAGTGTGAGGGCTATATTTTATTTCTAGTTTGAATGTGGTTTCTGTAGGAGGAAAAACATTCTTCACGTTTTTTAATGCTGCAAAAACTTGTATAAGTAATATTCAATTTTAACTGTGTGTGCGCATGGATCCCAAAGATAAAGAGAGAGAGTCGATAAGACTGGACTAAGAATGAGAATGACCATTTACTTTCAGTCAATGAGGAAGGACTGCTTCATGTTTGCGATGTAATGAAAAGTTTTGTTGCAACACGAGGAACAATGAAGCTTTAAACACCGTTCACTGAAAGATTCATTCATCATAAAGTCAGAGCACCTATTTTCAGACTTCAAATACCTTCGCAAAGACAGTGAAAGAAAAGGCCATTAAGGACATTCAGCTCCAGCAAACTTCAGCCTGTGATGGATATGAACAGACAGTGATGCAGGTGAACTCGGAGCCAAAAAGCAGATTTATTTACTGTATTTGTACAGTTGCATGAAGGTTAAACTTAAAGCAGAGTTGTCACGTGGTGCGTCATTCTGTCCAGGACACGCTGCAATGAAAATATACATTTGATAATCATGAATGGTTTTTATGTGTTTGTAGCCTTTACTTTGTCATTTAGATATTAGGCTAATATAGCTAATATAGCTAATGTAGCTTCAGCCCCTGTTACCTTTATATAAGCCTTATACAACGCTGTTTTGTATTTTTTGCGGCTCCAGACAGATGTTGTCTTTAGTTTTTTTAGTCAAATATGGCTCCTTGAACCTTTTGAGTTGCCTGGGCCGCTAAGAAGGAAAAAATGCCCGGGCCGTTTTTTTGTCCCAGTCCAGCCCTGCACAGGGAGAACATGCAAACTCCACTCAGAAAGGCCCTGGTCCGACCGGGATTCAAACCCAGGACCTTCTTGCTGAGAGGCGAGAGTGCTATCCACTCAGCCACCGTGCCGCCCGTGGTGGAGTCATTGGTTTTTCTGTAAAAAATCACTTGTTTCTAAATCAATAACTTACCTCGGGACCTGTGCTCCCCAGTCCATCCCCAACAAATAACACGTTGATGAAATTAGGTACATGTGCTTTCATTTTTGTCTTTAAATGTTAAGAAGCTAGCTTATGTACCACGTTTTGAGTGTTGATTTCCGTCTATGTCAGAGGAGACACAGCTGTTGTTACCTTTTGAGTCTCTATCCGACTGACCCCTGTGGGCTCTGGATGAATGAGTCCCAAGTGTGAGGCAAGGTGAAAGCCCCCTCGTCTCTGTTGATGGTCTGTGTGCCCAGCTTCCTGATTTCAATTGCCTCTCGCATCCATCTTTTTTGTTCGTTCGACCATAATGCAGTGAGATGTCATTGTTCAAATCCAATTCTGTCGAGCTCTGCAGACAACTGAAGGATTGTTTCTTCACTCTTCATAATGTACTGAGATTATTGATGTGATAATGTTTCGTTTTGTTAAGCACTCTGAGTTGCCTTGTGTTGTCAACTACAAATAAACTTTCCTTGGTCTTAACGTCATTCATTTCTGGCTAAACAGAAACAGAAAAAAGAAACAAAAAATCAGTGCATTATTCTTGTGTTTAACTTTAGAATACAGTTTCTTGTTTGTGATTAAGAGTTTTCACCGTGAGAGGATATCACACCAATTAAACATTAAAGCCGTGTACTTTGACAGTCAGACTATGTACTGTAGGAGTTAGTGCAAACATTGATCAAAGGCTAAAGTTTCTCTGAACAGTTCGCACGCAACGTAGAAGCAGTTATTTAAACCAAATTGCTTTTCTTCGCATGTGAAAAAGCACATCAAGACAACATCACGATTTTACTTTCACCCATTCCAGCTCGTTTTTACATTGTTTTACTAGTTATATGCACAAATAAATCAAATTAAATGATTAAATCATGTTTTACAGTTGTATACTAGTGATATTCACGATTACATCATTAAATGTAGTGTTGTTCTTAAGTGTTTGAGATATTTCATAATCACCACATTCCTCTTTCACTCATCCACATTCACCGATGTTGTAAAAGTAGTAGAAGTATCATTAATAGTAGTAAGAGCAGTAGTAGTAGGAGCAATACTAGCAGCAATAGTTGTAGAAGTAGTAGTAGTAGTAGTGATAACATCTATGTAGGACCACGACTGTCACCCCCTGCAGGACACTGGAGAGCAGCTTCAGGGACAGACTGACCCACCCTCGCTGTATGAAGGAGAGGTTCTGCAGGTCTTTCCTTCCTGCTGCTGTCACACTGTACAACAAACAATGAGAACTAAACTAGACCTGACCCCACACGTTAATGCATCCGTGCAATGATTTTAACGAATCTGAATGATAGAACCACACGTGTCACTTTTAGCCAGAACTTCATGCTGCAAAGAGGTAGAAGTATCATCACTGTGAATATCTTAACCCTCAGATGGAATAATGTACTACCCAAATATTCTTACACTGGAGTTTATCAATATATAACAAAATAAAACAAAACAAGTGTTTACAGTATTTTTCCATTTTTCCAGCTTAGTCAGGCTAAGCCAGCGGTCTCCAACCTGTAGTAGCTCGGGAGCCACCAGTAGCTCGCCAAAGGATTTAGAAATGAGCAAATTAAATAATATACAGGATATTTCAAATTGTATTATTCATTACCATTATTTATTATTGTAAATGCACTTACTTGTTCACATCAATATATCACCAATTTTTTGTCCCAGGGTCGCTTAAAAGAGTAGCTCTTGGGAAAGTAGCTCTCTGGGTGAAAAAGCTTGGAGACACCTGGGCTAAACTAAAGATAGACTGGTCTTACCACACCATCGTACTAATTTCATTTCCCACTAAGACCTGAATTTGCTTCGTGGAGCTCCGTTAACAGGTGGGAGGGGTTAACTCTTTTTGCAGATTGAAACAGTTACAGTAGCAGCAGTAGTAGTAGTTGTAGTAGTTGTAGCAGTATCTGTAGTCATGCTAGTAGTAGTAGTTGTAGCAGTATCAGTAGTCATGGTAGTAGTAGTAGTTGTAGCAGTATCAGTAGTCATGGTAGTAGTAGTAGTTGTAGTGCAGCAGAAGCAGTAGTTGTAGTGCAGCCACAGCAGTAGTGGTAATAATAGTGGCAGTAGCAGTAGCAAAAGTAGTGGTAGTATTTGTACAGCAGCCACAGCAGCAGCAGCAGCAGTAGTAGTAGTAGCAGTAGTAGTAGTAGTACAACAGCCATAGCAGTAGTAGTAATAGTAGTAGCAGTAGCGGTAGCATTAGCAGTAGTAGCAGTAGTACCATTACTTCCAGGATCATGGAATCTAAACCGAGGCAGATGAATGAGGATTACTGGACGTGCATGTAAACATAATTATTCTTTGGGGAGTTTAATTTTTAACTAATTTATTCTTCACACAAATAAATCCTTTCTTTTGTATCTTGGTCCAAAACCCGGCACCAGTCCGCTCCACGCCTGCTGCTTTCTCCTGCTTCACGCCTGCTGCTTTCTCCTGCTTCACGCCTGCTGCTTTCTCCTGCTTCACGCCTGCTGCTTTCTCCTGCTTCACGCCTGCTGCTTTCTCCTGCTTCACGCCTGCTGCTTTCTCCTGCTTCACGCCTGCTGCTTTCTCCTGCTTCACGCCTGCTGCTTTCTCCTGCTTCACGCCTGCTGCTTTCTCCTGCTTCACGCCTGCTGCTTTCTCCTGCTTCACGCCTGCTGCTTTCTCCTGCTTCACGCCTGCTGCTTTCTCCTGCTTCACGCCTGCTGCTTTCTCTTGCTACGGGAATGACTCTTGCTTTGGCACACTGTCGTAATCTCCGGTGTAGTCCTGTTGAGTTTCAGACTTAAGCGTTGCCAGATATATTTATAATCTGTCTTTTCACCCCCTCTTCTCTCTCTCTCTTGGCTCCGGCGCCGTTTTCGGATTCACTCCAAGTTCCCCCTCGTTCTAACTGCCGTGACAATAATATTGAAATCTTGGATGAATTCGATTTTTTTTTAAAGTGTATCATTTGACGTGGGGGTAATGAGCTTTCGGAGGCGGGAGCAGCCGGCAGGGAGGTCGCGTGTCTTCATTAAAATGCATAGAGCTAACCTGTGTCGCTACTCACCTGTAGCTCGTCTGTCAAGCTAGGCTAAAAAGCTGTAATTTGTAACCATGACGATGCCATCACTGGTTTTAAAGAGGTGATAGGAGATGGAAATGAAAAGACGCCGGCTGGTTTGGAGCGAAGGTTCCCGTCGAGCTTGTAATGGGCGAAAAGGGGCACGATTTTCAAACAAAAGCGACAAATGACAAATGGGTTTTAGGTTTGAGAAAGACTGCATTTCACTGCACAGTCTATAATACAGGATTAATACAGTAACTACTCACTTATAAAGATATTTGGTTCTTTTGTACAAGACAATAGTAATTTAGCAATGTTATTACCTTACTATTTATCTCCACTAAGAAGAGTCTTGCATGCAAAAGCCAGATCCTGTCAGACCTCTGAAGCTAAGCAGGACAGGGCCTGGTTAGAACTGTGATAGGAGACCTCTTGGGCACCCCAGGTTCCACAGTGGGGCGGCTATGACTGTGAAGTGCAAAACTTGTTGTTGTGTCCTCAGGCAAGATACTTCACTCACATTAGAATGAGTCTGCTGTGTGTGAAGGTAAGTAAGAAACAAATTTTAATTTATATGGCGCATTTTATAGAACAAGGTCACGCTTTAAAGAGTTCAAAGTTCAGATATTTTTCCATTCTCTCCACACAGCCAAAAACACTGGTCCATCAAAGCCTCCGACCAAACACCATCCATTCACTCACTCATTACTTTCATACCTATTGTGCATGTTTTTAGTGGTAGGGGAAACCGGAGCACCCAGAGGAAACAGGAGACGCAGACACGGGGAGAACATGCAAAGTCCACTCAGAAAGGCCCTGTCCCGACCGGGATTCGAACCCAGCACCTTCTTGCGGAGAAGCGAGAGTGCTATCCACTCTGTCACCGTGCCGCCCTCACACCATGTGTGTGTGTGTGTGTGAATGCCTGGTTGCCTCTCTTCTGTCATTGTGCCCCAGGGCAGCTGTGGCTACTGTAGTAGTTTGTCACAACTGTGTTTAGAGTAAATTAATAATGACATGTGAAGTGTTTTTGAGTGTCCAGTGATGATCCAGGATAATTTGTGTGATTCTCTGATCTGAGAATTGACAACTTCCAAGTCCTCTGAGGCGACTGCTGCTACACACAAATACATTGAATAGAATAGTCTCCTGCTGTATAACTTATAAAAACACACTAACATCTCTGTTAGTGTGTGTGGTCGTGTTTCTGTGCTCAAACCTTTTAAACCGACAGAACTCACATTTCCTTTGATCCATTGGACACAAAACTCTTCACATTTGTAGATCTTTCAATGCAGAAATGTGCCCGCTTTTTACTCTGCCGCAGTGAACGAGAATGGATATGGTGCGCATTACATCATGAAGCATAAATTTGATTCCTCACAGACTGGTTTGCGAGGAGCACATTTGGACGTATCTTTTAAACCAGGCGAACATTAACCGCCGTGACTTTGGCTCTTGTGAAATCAAAGCGACAGTCTCCTCTGCACCTCTGCCTCCGTCCTCCATCCTCCGCCTCAGACTCTGTCCTCTTCACCGCGGTTCAAAGGCAAACGGCTTAAGCCTCGTCAGGATCAGGACTCATTAGCATACAGACGTTAGCTACACCGGGGCGCCAACGTATCGCTCTGGAGCTTTCTGTGGCTCGTTTTCTCCATGTCCAAGTCGCTCCTCGAAAATATTGAAACACCAAAAATATGCAGGACGTTTAACATTTTCAGATCCTGACAACTAGACTGTGGTAAGAAATTCTACTAGATTTTGTTTTCATTGCAGCGGCTCTTAAAAAAAGCAAGACATTAAGCTAGGGGGTGCGAGAGAGATGCCGAAAAATATCTCAATGATTTGGTCTGTAAATAATATTATTGAGACGCAACACACACACATTGAGAGCCCAATCTTACAAGTACGCTGAAGATAAGCTTTTATGATTCTCTATTGTTGCTGGTATAAAACACGATTTAAATATCTTGACATTTTACTCAACACGGTAATGCCATCATCAAATCTGCCTTTTACCACCTTATAAATATACAGTAGTGAGAAGAAAAACTCATTCAAGACGTTCAATCATTCAAACATAAAAAATGTGTTGAAAGTTTCCAATGTTCACATTTCCCCACAACTTCTCCGCGCTAAAAAAATATAAAATATATAGATATTGAGTGAAATACCGGGGGCTATGAGGGGATGCCAAAATAAACGATCAATGATTTTATATTCAGGATGAAACACACAACCAAGTACGCAAGTATGGACAAGAAACGGTGTGGGTCCATAAACTCAATAAATATACACTCTCACACACACACACACACAGTCCCCATAACCCCCATAGTAAAGGTATCAATGGTATTTCAATACAAAGAATCGTAGACACAGGTGACTTTACCAATAGACTCACATTAAGAAGAAATCTACTGTAAGAATATTTTATCAAAGAACAATTGTGAATAGAAGCTGCCGCGTCATTTCAAGTCTTTTGAACAAAACTTTGGATTTAAATACAGTTGTGACGAAGGAGCGTGTCTATCGAAATCGACACGAGCACAAACTGTCGATAAATAACATGTTTTTCTCAGTTTAAACTTGACTATTTAGTTGCTTTTGACTCACTGCAGTGACCCTGTTTGACTTGTAGAAGTTATGTGTAAGAAGAAAAGAACGCTGCTGGCTACGACTTGTGTGAGAGAAACCAGTACTTTCAGTGTCATATGGATATCATTTCACATTTGCACATAAGGTCATACACACATAGTTGCAGATGGAACAGTGATCGCATCTTTCCATTATCGTCCTATAGTAAAGTAAAGGGGAGCACGAGCAAACATCCAGCAGATTTGTGATGTTTGTAATGGTCTGTGACACGCACATGTTAATGCATAGGGTCCTTTACAAATGCACATCAAAGACAACAATCATCTTGGTCCAAATGAAAGGGTCTCAGCGGCTTGTTTCTGCTCTTCTCCTTGTCTTTGTTGTGGAGCTCATCCAAAGACATGTATTAGAAGTGGACTTACCGAGGGCTGGCGTCTCCATAGTATTTGCTGAATGCCGTAAAAGCCAATTTGAACGTAAGATAGCCGGAGCCGATGTCCTTATATGGATATTTGTTACAATGGCTGGTGGGCTTTGCTCCGTGTGAATGAAGGCTCTAAATGTTTCTTCCGTTTGGCTCATTTCTGGATTTACAAAGACAATATCAAAGTATTACGATTAAGATTAAGAGATTCTTTATTCGTCCGACACTAGGGAAATTTCAGTGTTGCATCACAAGTTATAGAACAGTAGGAAAGAGGAGCAAACAGCACAAGATAAGTGAACAATAGCTCTACTAATTGAAATAAAACAAAATCTCTGAAACACCAGAATCACATAGAGCGATAAACCATGACTTTTAAAGCCAAAACGGTTTCTGAGCCAGAAACAGGTCAACAGGAGCCAAAGCCAGAGCAAGTCCATCTATATGTAATCTATGTGATCGTCATGTTACTTGGTTCTTCCCCATTACTCCAAAATCTCCTTTTATAAACGTTCTGCCAAAACCTAGGACAACAAGCCTGGAATGGAATAAATGTGTATGTTGGTTAATTGTTTGATTAATTGAAGATATTGTATTCGCTGACCGTAACAACAACAAAAAAGGATTGGCTTAAAATAAATTGCTGATGTAAGCCGATCCTGACAACACAGTACAGCTCAATAGTTACTTAAAATATATATTACAAACTGTCTCAAACACAAAATACTTATTTACTAGAACAATATATTTTTAGGCACCAGTCTATATGAAAAGTAATTAAAAAAAGAAGTACAAATTGGCAAAAATGTATCTTAATATGAGCACACTGTGACAGCCTCAAAACCAGATTTGCAGATGGGACGAAGAAAAATGATCTTTTTTAAAAAAGATATAGGAAACGTCTCCCTTGGAATGAGAAAATAAAGCAACAGTATTTGAAATAAGATGAAATGGCTTCGTCACATTAGCAAATCTTGTTATAACGGAGTCAGAATTCACTCAAATTAGGGAAAAAAACCACTCGATTCAAGCAATTTTTTAATTACAATTTATCACCTTTTAAGAAGGTGATAAATCTTTTAATGAAATCATTAATTCTTTTAATATGAATTAGTGCTGTCCAACGATTAAAATATTTAATCGCGATTAATCGCATGAATTTCATAGTTAACTCGCGATTAATCGCAAATTAGTCACACATTTGCGTGCTGTGTGCAATTGCTTTTTTAATTGAAAACAATGTGTAGTGTTATATTACACACTAACATTTGATGCAAAATCATCAATAAATGGATGACAAAATAAATAATTGGTAACAAAAAGCCCCTTCAATGTGTGTGTGTGGGTGTGTGTGTGTATGTGTGGGTATAGACCATAGACTGTATAGAAACATCATGGTGTCATTATGATGATGATAAACAATCTGTAAATATTTTGTAAATTTGTTCATGTAAATACTCTATGCTGTTTCTCTGTTTACCTTCGGTATATCTATGACTGTATACTGTTTGCTTGTATTGCCTTTTTTATTAACCCCTCCCCCCATCTCCCACTTCATGTCCCCCCCCCCCCCCCCCCCTCCCCTCCTATGTGCCCTTCTGGGGTTTCTTCTTTGGCCCCCTGTATCTCCAACTACATATTGTTTGTAATCTCTGTCTACAATGTATCTGAACTAGTCCTTTTCTTTGTTTCTATGTGTTTGTCTGCAATAAAAAGTAAAAAAAAAAAAAAAAAAAAAAACTTTTTTTTTTTTTTATCGCGCGATAAAAAAAATGACGGCGTTAATATTGATTTGCGTTAACGCGTTAATAACGCGCTATTTTGGACAGCCCTAATATGAATTAATGATTTCATTCCTCCAACCCTTGAAACAGCTTCATAAAACATAGAAAGCCAAAGTAAATATTCTCAAGATGGAGTTGAACAAAAACTGATATTTTCTCTTTAAGTTTAAAG